ATGCTTCATGGATTATTGAGGAGGAGTTTCGCCGGCATGACCTTGATCTTCTAGAGCATTATCATGATCGTATCTCTTCGAAGGCGAGTTCTTTTCAGCCGGAGAGAAATTATAGGAATCAGATTATATTTCATTATAGTAGGCGCAGACGTAGGGATTATGAGTTATTTGTCATTTTTTTAGGGGCTTAGTTGTAATTTTGACTATTTATTTATTTTAGGGTTTGTGCTCTCCTTATATATATAGGAGATATGGTATTTGTTTTGCCAGTCTTGGATTATTATTGATTATTATTGAATACTAATATTGCTTCCTCTTCAAATTCTTTATCTTTTCTTATCCCTTTCTTCTTCTCTTCTCATCCTGAATTCTTCCCTTCCTAGTCTACATCATGTCAGCTAGATAAATTAGCAGGGGAGAAATGACACAAATGAAATATGACATTGTTCGGGGGAATGTTCTAGACCTTCAAGGTGATCATTCTGCTACGTAGCACTTATGTAATGTAATTTTGGTAATGAATCGATAATTAAAAATTTTGGGTGATGTCAAATTCTTAGCGCAAAGAATGTTTGATATATATTTTTCAAAATAATCTATATATACATGTTATGATGACTTGTATTCCAAGTCTGTGGATCCAAATAAATCTGATGGCATTAGTGTTTGTGTTAAAAGCCATCGTAGTAAGAATTCTAGAAATAGTTGGACACTTTGGATAAGGATCAAGAGTCTTTGTCTTTCAATACAAGTTTGTTTCATTATTTAATTGGAAAAAATTTTGGTTGGGTCAAGACATGAAGACTTCCTTATTTATTAAGACTTTGACTATATGAAGTATTCTTTACATATAGAAGTCTTTTGGATATCAACAATGCTACATCCACCAAATTATTTACCAACTTTTGAATCCCAAATCAAAATAAACCATAGGATCAGTAGATTCCAAATTCTCACTAACCATCCAATGGCTATCAATGAGACACATCATTTAGGATTCAAAAATTTGGTAAAAGTTTTGATGGACACATCATTTCCCTTTGGATATTGGCCTTAGGCGTTCAACTATATTGAAGAGATTGATGACGACAATTTGGTGTGTGTGATAAATTGGGTCTACTCTATTTGTTTATGGGTCTTCTTCAAGAAAGCCAATATTGGTTAAAGAAGATTTTTGGCACTATTAATCTTGTAATAGTGATATAGTAGATAGACGTTCTTTTCTTGTCTTTATTTCAGGAACTTTTTGTAATCTACAACCTTTAATAGTGAAATCTTACAGCTATGTTTCGTTCGTGGACGTAATCCTTCTTGTTGAGCCGAATCACGTAAATCTTGTGTGTTCTATTTTTCTATTTCGTTGCATTATTATTTTACTTGTAACATTGGTTCATAACAAACTGGTATTAGAACTATTAGTTTCGGGATGGTTGCAGCAAAATTAAAGATAGAAAAATTTGATAGTCAGAACAATTTTAGTTTATGAAAAATTAAAATGAAGGCATTGCTTCATCAGTATGATTTGGCAAAGGGAATTGGTGGATCTCTATCCAAGAAGACATATTAGACTAAATTGAAGGCATTATTTGTGATAGTTCCTCTAATAATAATAGAGGTCGATTCGTTGAGAGCAATTCAGATAAAGGAAAAGGAAAGTATGGATATCGATCATAGTGTAGGAAGAAACAAATTAATGTTGAATGTTTCTATTGTCACAAAATTGGTAATTACAAGCATGATTGTTTTATGTTTAAAAATAAATAGAGACATAAATAATCAAATTCTTTTGATTCTTCTAGTGTTGATGGTATTGTAGAGGATACATCTGATGGTTCAGATAATGTCCTTACAGTTGTTAATCTTTGATGGACATTTTAATGATGAGTGAATTCTTAATTCGGGATGGTCCAATCATATGTGCTCTAATAGGGAATGGTTTACCACCTATGAGTCAATCAATGGTGTTTCAATCTTGATGAAAAATAATATTTCTTGCAAGGTTGCAATAGTAGGTACTATCCGAATTAAGACACATGATGAGATTGTGAGAACTTTGATAGATGTATGACATATTCTAGAATTAAAGAAGAATTTGATTTCTTTGGGTACTTTAGATTCCATTGGTTGTAGGTTTTCAGTTGAATGAGGAGTTATGGAAGTTTGTAGAGGTTTCCTAGTTGTGATGAAAGGTAAAAACATTAATGGCCCTTATATTCTTTAGAGTGATATTGTGATTGGTGCAGCTAGTGTGTCATTTTCAAAAATTTCAAATTCAGATACTATTTAGTTATGACATATGCGTTTGGGCCACTTGACCGAGAGGGGAATGAAAGTCTTGTGTAAATACGGTTTGTCTGGAAAATAGGAGACTGAAAGCTTAATTTTTGTGAGCTTTGTGTCTTCAAGAAATAGTGCAGAGTCAAGTTCATTACAACAATTCACATAACAAAAGGTACAGTTGATTATATTCATTTAAACCTTTGGGTTCCTTCTCAAGTTTCATCTAAAGGTGGTGCTCGGTATTTTTTGACATTTATTGATGATTATTCAAGGAAAGTTTTCATGTATTTTCTGAAATGAAAGAATGATATTTTTTGGACTTTCAAGCAATGAAAGATTTTGATTAAGAAACAGACATGCATGAAAGTCAAGCATCTTAGAACAGATAGTGGTTTGAAATTTTTTTGAGGTGAGTTTAATGAGTTCTATAACGATGAAGGTATTGTCAGGTATCGCACTGCCTAGTCTACTCTATATCAAAATGGAGTTGCAAAGAGGATGAACATGACTCTTTTGGAGAGAGCACGTTGTATGCTCTCAAATGTAGGGTTGTTTATATCTCTTTGGGCTGAGACTATCTGCCCTGCTTCCTATTTGGTTAATCGTTCTCCATCCACTACTATTGAGTTGAAGACTCCATATGAGGTATATTTTACTACTCCTGCTGATTATTTTGATTTAAAAATGTTTGGTTGCATTGCTTATTATCATGTGAATGATGGTAAGCTTAAGCCTAGGGCTAAGAAGTGCATATTTATTGTTATGCTAATGGTGTGAAAGTATATAGATTGTGGTGTTATGATCCTAAATTGCCTAAGTTTATGATTAGTAGGGATATTGTATTTGATGAATTGACTATGTTTCATCCAAGAAAGGAGTTTGTAGTTTCTACAGAGAAAGAACATGGTTATAGCAAAGAGGTGGAGCTGCAGGTGGAAGCTTTATAGAAAGAACAATAGTTCAACCTGTTACATATTTTCCTAGTTCTAGTTCTAGTTCTAGTGATGATCCACAGGTGGAGCAGCAGTATAGTATTGCAACAAGTAGGGAGATGAGGCAAGTGAGGCCTCCTCAGAAATATGGGTATGCACACTTGACAATGCACTTACTATATCAGAGGAGTTTAGTGTTCAAGAGGACATTCCAATCACAATGTCTTTTCCTCTAAAGGTAAGGGATTCCATCCTATGAACCAAAACAATTGGGTTATGCCTCTAGCAAATCAGTTCGCTTTTCCTCTGTCAACTCTAATAAAGAACGCAATTGATATTTAACCTGTGAAAATTGTGGCAACGTGGGCATGAGGCATTAAAATGCTAGTATAGGTTCGACAACGCCTACCACCCAATGATGTGCCTCAGGTCCTTGTTGCGTTAACAATTGATAGCGGGGCATAAGATCAGGAATGGACAACAGATATGGGAGCTTTGGCACACTTGACATCCAATCTAGGTATTCTAAAAAATTTACGCCCTTATATTGGCTTGGTTCATGTTGTGGTAGGTAATGGTCATCTTTTTTTGATTACACATGTTGGTGAAACAATGATAGGAACCCATTCACACATTCTTAAACTTAATAATGTTTTATTAGTACTAAATCTTGAAAAAAAATTGTTATTAGTTGGTCAATTAACTACTGATTAACCACTTAATTGTGAGTTTATTTTGGTGTTGGTTTCACTATAAAGGATAGGGCCATTAACCATATACTACTGAGAGGACACAAGCGGGGTAACCTTTACTTCATCCTTGCTTTGCCTGAGGCCCACTTCTCGGTGCGATTTCAAGCTATGAGCAATGATGTTTGGCATCAGAGGCTAGGCCATCCACAAGCAGCTGTTGTTTCCAATCTACAATCCCGCGGATTACTTAAAGTTCTTGGCAAAAATGAAACCACATCCATATGTGAAAGTTGTCAAATGGGCAAATTCAGTCAACTTCCGTTTCTTATCTCTTCAAATAAAAATTACGGTTTACTTGAAAAGATCCATTGTGACCTTTGGGGGCCTGCTTCTATTAATTATGTTGACAAGTTCTCCTATTATGCTATTTTAGTCGATGAATTTAGTCGATATATGTAGTTTATACCATTGAGACATAAATCTGAATTGTTTACATCTTTTTGCTCATTTGTTACATTCCTTGACGGTCAATTTTCAATAAAAATCAAGGTTTTCCAATCTGATGGCGAAGGAGAATTTACTTCCAAAGTCTTTGAAAATTACTTACAAGAACTAGGAATCATCCACCAAGTCTCGTGTCCTTGAACACCAAAACAAAAATCGTATTGCTAAACGTTGCCACCAGATTATTTGTGAATTGTGGCTTACTTTATTTTGTCACAGTGGTATGCCCAAATGTTTCTGGGTAGAGGTCTTCTCTACGGCTGTCTTTTTGATCAACCGTATTCTGACTATTACTCTAGGCAATGAAGCACCATTCTTCAAGTTTTATGGTAGACATCCAGACTATACCTACTTGAGAGTATTTGGATCAAAATGTTTTCCATACATCTGGAATGCTCAAGCCACCAAATTTGACCCCAAGTCCCTTCCATGTGTGTTCATGGTACAATGGCTATAAGTGCTTTTATCCCCCTACCAAACACATGTGTGTTTCTCAACATGTAGTCTTTGATGAAGGGAATTCTCCCTTCAAAATCCCAGCAAGCTTACACTCACCCTTAGCATCTCCTAAGGTAATCTCAACCTTCTCCAAATGGTTAGAGTCACGGTCTCCCTCTAGCCCCATACACGACTCACCCCACCACTAGTATTTTAGCTACCTTTAATATTTAATTGATGCAGGATTAGCTTGATACTACTATGCCTTCTATGCTGCCATTAGTTACAGACCAAACAGATGATGACACTACCATCAGTGCCAACTCTGCACCAGTGCTTACCATACCCCATTCTATGAGTGAAACAGAGGAGCATTCTCTATCTTTCAAGCCACCTAGTACCTCTATTAGCAATTCTTCCTTTATCGATTCTGAACAACCTACTGAGCTTGCTATCTCTAGTGTTGCCTCCTCACTCCCCAATGACAATGCCACTACTTCTGTTTTGGACTCTGCCATTCCTATTCATCCTATGGTCACACCTGCAAAAGTAGGTATCAATAAACCTAATCCCAAGTATGTTGAACATAATAAACTGCACTCTATTCCTAAGGAACCAAAGAGCATTCGTTACTCCTTGAAACTTGAAGGGTAGACTCATGCAATGCATGAGGAATAGGCACTCCATCATAATAACACTTGGTCCCTTGTTCCTCGAAAATTTGATATGCATGTTATTGGATGCAAATGGGTCTTCAAAATGAAACTCAATGGCAATGGGTCCTTCAATCCCTTAAAGGCTCGCTTAGTGGCCAAAGGCTACCATCAAATGGACGGTGTTGATTATGTCGATACATTATCCCCAGTCATAAAACCAGGTACAATTTGTAAAGTTCTGACCATTGCGTTAGTTCAAAAATGGGATATTATACAATTAGATGTCAAAAATGCCTTTTTACATAGTTTTCTCAACAAATCTGTCTTCATGGAAGAACCACCAGTCTTCATTGATAGCTCTGTCCCTAATCATGTTTGCAAATTAAATAAAGCTCTCTATAGTTTAAAGCAAGCTCCTAGATCGTGGTTTGATAGATTTATTAGTTTTTTTTGCTAGAATTTGGATTCTTTTGTAGCATGTCTAACCCATCCCTTTTTATTTGTCATTTGGCTCGTGGAACCTTAATTTTATTACTCTATGTTGATGATATAATTTAACATGATCTAATATCTACTTACTTCGTGAATTTATTCATGCACTCCATCTTAAATTTGCTATGACGAATTTAGGTCCCTTAAATTATTTTGAGAGACTTGGGATGAGTTGTTAGTCCAATTTTCATATTCTATACATGGTCGCCCCACTTGCATGTTGTGCAACGCTGCAAATTTGAAGAACTTGATTGAATTGCAATAGAGTTTCCTAGGAAATTAAGTTCATGTTAAAGTGTTTATAGAAGATGTTGACGGTTCATTGCATGATGTGAACATAGGTGATGTTGTCATAGTGAGAACGTTCTTCTAACAACTGGTTGGAGTAATGAAATATGGCACATAGGACAGAAATTTTAAGGTGGTGCGTTACAGTTTTGGAAAGCACTTTGTAAAACCTTGATTGAGGTTGGTTTTGAATTTAATTATCTAAAGAATTGTAAATCAAGAGTTATTGCTGAGAGTTCCTTTAAGCAATTTTTTTGTTGTAGGTGGTGTATCAATGCAACAGTTGAAAAAGCTACTGGTTTTTTTTTATATTAGCAAATTGCACAATGAACATAGTTGTGGTGAGGATCTACGAACGACAGGTAACAAGAGGATGAGTTCTAATTTGATTGCAGATTTGATTGTTGATCGTGTTTGTGGGCATACCAAAACGCGTCTAATAGAAGTGGTTGCTAATTTTGTTTTTTTCTAAATATGGAGTTACCATATCTTATGATAAAGCATGAGAAGGATTTGAGCAATCAAAAGGTATGTTTTTTGGGGACTACTCATTGTCGTACCAACAATTACGTTGGTATGTCGATGCAACAAATCGTTCTAATCCGAATAGCCATATTGTTTTAGATTGTGATCATAAGAATAACCATTTGAAATTGTTGTTTGTTTCTTTTAAGGGTTTTATTCAAGGGTTTAATTATTTTCATCCACTACCTTTTTTTGAATGGTACATTTTTGAAAGGCAGATATAGAGGTAATCTTTTTATTGGCAACTGCAAAAAGATGGAAACCATGGTAAAGTTTAATACAGTTTTTGGAGTGATAAATTTCATGGTTATGTTAAACTATAATCGTTATGTTACACTGTCTTTGTTACATTGTTAACAGTGTTTAAATACACTACAACAATGTATGTTACACTGTTTTAGCTTTTAATTTTCATTACTATTTATGTGGCTAATTTCAGGGTTGTTTCCTTTGGCATTTACGGTGGTTGATTTGGTGAATGAATCAAACTGATTTTGATTTTTAGAACAGCTGTCTAAGATATTGGATCACTCTCAGGTTATTACATTTGTTTCTGATCGTAACTTTGTTTGTTAGAGGCAATGCCAAAAAAATTTCTAAATGCTCATCACACATTTTGCTTGCAACATTTGAAAGCTAATTTGCAGGATAAATTGAGTGGTGCTCATTTTTCCAATGTATTCTGAGAACGGATGGTGATTTTGCTACGTGAGTGTGCTTGTGTACCAACACAGTCGCTTTTTAATGAGAAGATTGAAGTTTTCCATCCTAAAAGTGGTTCTAATGTGGATAGGTTCCTATCTAATCTTCCATTTCAACATTGGACAAATACTCATTTTATAGGGAAGCGTTACGAGGAGATGTGTTCTAATGCTGCAGAGTCGTTTGACAAGTGAATTTTGAAAGCTCGACATTTACTTATTACTAGCAAGGCTGACACTATTAGGGGACATATAATAGATCAAATAGGCAGAAGGATGAAGATAGCTTTGGAATGGAATGAGAATTTATGTCCCAATATGTCTTTCAGATTGCAAGCTGCCTTTGATGAATGGAGGTCTCGGACTGTACGAGTTTCAAATAATCATCCTTGTGTGCTTCGCTTATCCTAATGTCATCTATTGCTATAATAATGGCAAACAAGTTGGATCTATATTTAGGCTCATGCTTTGATTCAATCGTTTGTTTTTTTTTGTTTTATGTCGTGTGTTTTACCAACTTTAACAACTGATGGGTCTACAGTTTGGTCCAACACTTTGTCTCCACAACAGAATTAATATTTGTCTTCAGTCCCCTTTCCTTTTTCTCCCCATGACTGATCTGAGTTACGTAGATGTAAATACATGAAAATTACAATATACAATCAAGATTCAATGTAACTATAATAGTATAACAATAATATTGTAACAATAACAGTGTACCAATACACATACAAAAACATTGTACTATTACATTATGAAAAACATATATTTGCATATAATTTCATTCAAAACAGTTCATCTCTGTTTTGAATTTGTCACCACATGCACAAGACCACTGAACACAAGCAAAAACAGAACCAATGAATTTGACTTTATACTTTCTAACATCATTTCAAACCTATTATCAACCAATGGAAAATTAAAAATTATTATGCGTAATGATGGATCTCTATCCATAAAGACAGATCAGACTAAAGTAATTGATATTTAAGATAAAGCACACAATACAATTCACACCCAAAATCAAATCATAAAGACAGAGGAGAGAGAAAGGAATTTAAACACCGGTTATAGTGAGGTGAGTGGGGCGGTGTTAGTGGGGGGAGACAGTGATGATTGTGGTGGGTGACAACACTGTTGGTGATGGTTGTAACCGTGAGTAGCAACGGTGATGGTGATGGTAATAGAGTTGATGGTGGCACAGTGGTGGTGGTGGTAAGGTGGCGGTAGAGATGGTGATGGTAGTGGGAATGGTGGTTGCAAGGAGGGGGTGTTGGTGCGGTGGCTACAATGGTGATGGCTACGACAGTTGTGGTGGTGGGCCAATGGTGGTGGTTGTTATGGAAGAGGTAGTGGTGGGGTGGTGGCGGCGGTGGTGGTGGTGCTTGGGATAGGGGTGGTGGTAGCATGGCTGTAGTGGTGGTGGTGGGGCAATAGGGGTGGTGGGGCAATGGGTGAGATGGTGGTGGTGGTGGTGGGACGATAATAGTGGCAGTGGTGGTGGTGATGGTGCTGGGCGTGTGGTGGTAGTAGTGGTCGTGGTGGTGGGGCGATTTCAAACACTATTTAAAAAAAAAATAATTATGAGAAGTTAGAAGTTTTAGAAACATTTTTAAAAAATTATCTCAAACATATCCTTAAGGGCCTATTTTTCCTATTAAATTTGAGGTGTTAGCATTAGCCGTCAGATTAACTTTAAAGTAAAAATTAAAGAAATCTCAACCGTGAAAAACAAAAGTCATTTTGTTTATCTTTTGAGATTTGAATTGTATTGTACTTTATTATATAGATTATTTGCAACCTTCATTTATTTATAGACATAAGGTTATATTATAAGCAAGAAAAAATGGAGGAGATTATCCCAACCGAATTTTTATGATGGCATGAACCACTTTTGAGTTTTGTGTTCAAAAATAATTTTTTCAATGTCATTGCATAAAAAAAAAATTAATAATCTTTTTATAAATAAAAAATTATCATTGACAATGACAATTGAATAAACCAATTGAATGAAATTTTTGTCTGTTATTGTTGATCCCCTCAACATAGAATTCTGATTCTGCTAAAACTTGATATGTATAAAAATTGCTTATTTTATTACGTCACTTTATTTTAATAATTTTGTTGGAACAAAATAGTTTGTAAGTATAAATTTTTGATTTTGGTTTTTTGAACTTAATTTAAAGCGAGGCTCACTTATTATTTTGAGTAAATTTTTTTTGGTTTTTATTCTACTTCGTGAGGAGAATAACAAAGTATATCCTAGGTTTGTTCTAAGGATTAAGCCCCAAAGGGCACCGCACTTTTGTGGACGAGAGAGGACCTAGATAGACTTGGGTTTGATAACATGTGCACTGCTGCCTACTCCAGCCGCCCCTGGTGTGGGTGTGGATGTGGATTGGGTTGGATCCAATCTTATATTTGTGGATAAAATTATTTTGCTAAATAGGTCCTTAATTCCTTACCCGAATTTAATTTTTGTTATCCGTTGGAATTCAAATTCGCATTGGTTCGAATATGAATTATTTCGTGGCTGTTCATCAATAGGCATCTCTGGTGACTTTCTTGGGTTGCATCTTATCAGTGGTGCTATTTGTGAACAATCACCTCTGCATCTATAAATATGTCCATATTCATTCAACATTAATAACTTGCACATTTTGTAATATATAGTCATTAGTTTCAAACTCTTTATCATTAAAATTGTTTATTTTTTAGAGTACGAAATATAATTTCTGGTTCGGTGTGCAAACAAATTGTAGTACTTCTTCTTATTACCTGATCATTATATCATGAGACACATATGCTCAAGAATCCATAAAAATCGGAGTGGAGACAAAATTTGCCCTTTGATACTATCCTTGATCAATTTTTGTCTGTTCATGTTTGTCAATTGTATCAATTTTTTTTGTTATTAATATTGTTTTCTTAATTGCGTGATTCATATCAAAAATTCAATAAANTTACGTCACTTTATTTTAATAATTTTGTT